AATAATGTGGTGCGGCGCTAGGGAGGCCCCCCCCCCCCCCCCGCCAGCCGTGATGCGCCGAGCGAAGCCGAAGCGAGCCGATGTTAGCCGAGTCCTAGCATCCTGGTCGCTAGGCAACGCAAGTCAACAGCGGTGACGTCACCAAGTAGTAACAGCGGTTACCTCCGCTAGCGTTACATAGCAACACAGCGACATAGCAACAAGGGTGCCTATTACGTGGCCGTTTTCTCGTATTGTCCGATCGAGGCTACATAGGGAGCAGCGAAGGCTATTCACAGTCAGTTCTAGTGTGGCTACCGCAGAGTTATAAAGTAACAGTCGCCGAGTCGAGACGTAAAGTCAGCCAGTCAGTTGTATTGTGGCATTTGGAGTGTACTAATTGTGATACTGCAGGTAGCAGTAATCGTCGGATTGTAATTTGGGTGATTGTAAGTGCGAATGTGAAATAAAATTCGCTACATCGAGTACGTCGAGAAGTTATTTGTCGCGATATATGCACGATACGCGACAATATATAACTGGCTGTAAAATCTAAAGTTTTTACAACTACAGCAGCTGTTCCAATACATTAAAATGTTTTTAGTTAGTTTGCTAAGATTCTATTGGAATTCATAAACCAAGCTGGTTCGTGTTTGTGGGCCGCTGTGTTGTGTTGAGTAAAAACAACACAGCAGGCCACAAACACATACAGGACAACCTTAAAGAACCCTCTTCTCGAGAATGACAAGATGGCACACATTCGGCCCCCCATCAAAAGAAATAACAAGAGGGACGACACGAACCAGCTTGGTTTACGTATTCCAACAGAATCTTAACAAACCAATTATAAATATTTTAAAAATATTTTAATGTATTGGAACAGCCGCTGTAGCTGTAAAAACTCTTAGGTTTTACAGCCAATTGTATATTATTTATATTGTATGTATATATTTTAACTTTTAGAACACGTAGTGTAATAGTGGCCTCTGACAGTATTGATGTAAAGGTGTCCCTCTGAAGATGGTCTCTGAAGACCGAAACATGTAAGGGCATGAATAACTGAATTAAGAAAATCTTAACCAGTCACACTGGACGGAACTGTTTACCTTTTTCAAAGATCCTAAGTCAATAATTTCAGTATTAACCTTTAACATACAGGCTTTTCAACTGCCGGCAGCCCTCTGCGGCCAGAATTTAAATGGCCTTAAGTCTTTAACATTGCAGACTTTCAGAGAAAACTACATATTTTCCATTCTATGCAACATAGAAATAGGAACTAAAAACAACCTGAAAGAAAATAAAATTTTTTGCATATACACAAAAAGAGCAATTTTTACAAATGAAAATTAACTGATTATTTTTTCATGAAGTGCAAAATATAATCTTTATTATATATGTTATGAAATTCCAAAGGACTTATCCATAGTTTTTTCTTCAGTCTTGAGACATGGTGATGAAATTCCAAAGGACTTATCCGTAGTTTTTTTTTCAGTCTTGAGACATGGTGACTTTGTAAATATAATCACACTATATACAATAATACTTTGTTCAGACTGTACATGAGTTTGAACTGCGTCACTTCACAGTTTACGATAGCTCACACTCTCACACGTGTGTGCCACTTCTCAAAGCAGTCCACGACCCACAGCCCAACATCACACTTTTTACAATAGAAATGGGTGCTCCTGTTTTTCTTATTTAGCAAACACACATGATGTCTTTGTTTCCCTTTGGTTGGCCAGTGTTTCACCTCCAGTCAACTCAGTTGGGCCCCAGATGGACTTGGCCTCCCCTGAGAAACGTCACTGACCATGATATTCACCTTGTGCAATTGAAGAATCTTCTTGGGGGAGGTGGGTTTCCAGCTAAATTGAATAAATTATGTTGATTGATAGCGCAATACTCTCACCTGTTAGTAATACTTGCAAAATAGTGATGCAAATTATAATACCAGTTGAAAAGAGTGCCAGCCCGACACTGATATTGAAAGTCACAGTGATGAAGATGTCTTTTACTCACAAAGTAACACTGGCTCAGTGGGTTTATACCTCTTCTGAGACACAAAATAAAAATGATATATAAAGAAATATATGACAGTCTGACACTGACTTCCTAACTGATAATTCGCTAATGAAAACTAATCCTTGAAAATGTCACACTTCCTTGAAAGCTCTAGAAGCACTAATCTGTGAGCACAGATGAATATTTACTCCTCAGTTCTCTAAACAAAGCTGGGTTCTCTTTGGCTGACCAGGTCATAAACAGTCATATCTAAATGTAAATAGTATTGAAACCAGTACAATGATAAACGATTTCATTGTTCAGAGCTAACGAATGAACCACTGACATGACCTTGTGCAGGCTTGTTTTGGTTTCAAACAGAAGATCAAACTGTCGGTACTCCCAAAGAGAGCACGTGTCCTATGTTAGACAAATCTAACATTTGGCCATAGCGGGGTGTTACTTGCCGTTAGATATATCTAACATTTGTACGTTAAAAGTCAAACCGTCTCCACTGATGCTTTTCATCAGTTTATTCTTCAAATCCACTGCTCCCCAAAAAACCTTAAATTGGGGCTTCACAATATAATCCATAATTTATTCACACACATAAACTGTTACACAAGTATAATTTGACAAGTCAGTTTGAGTCACTAAAACACTACAAGTCAACAACTCTTAAAAATGTACAAAATGATACACAAGACTATGAACAATACAGTCATCTTAGGATCACTGTCACCCTGCTGAAGCTAGCAACTGAGGATGACATCCTGCAACAATCCAACATAAAGCAATGCATACACTTATACCATCTGTATACATCCACACCACATCAGAACCAACCCGAGCCACCAAACTACTGTTCATCATTAATAAAAAACACATGCAGAGAAAAAAAAAAGTTTTGTAATAAATAACGTTTTAATTTATTTTTAAAAACTTAGAAATTTTCTATTCGTTTAAATTCGGGGGACAAGCTGTTATGTATTTTAATTCCAATGTTAATTACACTTATTTTACAATGAACAGTGTTGCATGTTTGTACATACAAATCCTGTTTTCCTTTAGTGTTATACTTGTGAATATCAGAATAATGAGTTGTGTAGATCCTGTTCTTTTTTAAAGAGCATATAATTTCATATGTGTATATATATAACAGTTACTGTTTAAATCTTTAATTCACCAAACAGACTTCTACAGGCTCTTTAATGAGCCTTAGAGCTCTTTTTTTTTTTTAATTTAAAGACTGAATTACTGTTATTTACTCCCCCCCCTAAAAAATACCAGATTTCAGTATAGATTCAAATTTAGTAAACTAAACAATTCTTAGTACTGGTAAACTTAGTGAGTCTCATATGGACTTTATCAAACAAAGAGTTTTGTTTAATTTATAGCAGAGATATTGTATACGACTGGTCCAGCTTATGTTATCTGTGATATAAATACCTAAATCTTTTAAATTTGATTAGTAAGTTATTTTTTTTTTAGATACAGAAGGGGTCCATGAGTTAAACTAGATCCTCTTCCATGAAATAGTATTGCTTTAGTCTTTTCAGTATTTATTATAAGATTATTTTTTTTGGAACCAGTTTTCTAATTGTATCATGACTTTTATGATTTTAAGTACAACAGACCACTGTAGGTCGCGGTGCAAGGGCCGAGAAGGCCTACCCTCATATATTAATTTATTGATTTTTCTTTTAACAATGGGAGGTTTTTCTCTATGAGCAATAAATTTGTGTCATCTGCGAATAACACCACCTGAGCTTCTTGAACTGCTTAAGGCAAAGCGTTTATAAACAACAAGAACAGAAGGGGTTCCAAAAGAGGACCCTGAGGTACACCATATTTTATTTTTTACATGATGAAGCAAACGGCTTTATACATGATGCGTTCAAGTTCTAAGGTCTCCGATTTTTTTTCTCACACAATAATCATACAAAAAATTTTAAACTTCTGTCACTTTTCAACGTAATCTCCCTGCAGCCGTACACATTTTTCACGTCAACACCATGATTCCATGGCCACTGCGAATGCTTCTGTAGGAGTCTGTTTTGACCACTGGAAAATCGCTGATGCAATAGCGGCACGACTGGTGAGTGTGCGACCACGGAGAATGTCTTTCATCGTTGGGAAAAGCCAAAAATCGCTAGGTGCCAGGTTAGGTGAGTAGGGAGCATAAGAAACCATTTCAAGGTTGTTTTCAGGAAGAAACTGCTGTATCATGTACGCCTGATGCGCTGGCGCATTGTCCTGGTGAAAGAGCACACATGCAGCCTTTATCCGGCCATTTTTCTTGCAGTGCTGGAAGGAGCTTGTTCTTCAAAACATCTTGGTAAGATGCACCTGTGACCGTAGTGCCCTTTGGAACGCAATGAGTAAGGATTATGCCATCACTGTCCCACAACATGGCCATCATCATTTTTTTAGCACTGGTGCTTACCCGAAATTTTTTGGTGGCGGTGAGTCTGTGTGCTTCCATTGAGCTGACTGGCACTTCATTTCAGGATTGAAAAATGGCATCCATGTCTCATCCATTGTCACAATTGATGGAAAAAAGAGTCCCATTCATGCCTTCATCACGTGTCAACATCGCCTGGAAAATGGCCATGCGCGCAGCCTTGTGGTCGTCCGCCAGCATTCGTGGCACCCACTTGGAGGACACTTTCCGCATTCCCAGGTCTTCATGCAGGATTGTGTGCACAGATCCCACGGAAATGCCAACTTTGGAGGTGATGTTTTCCACACTCAATCGGCGATCCTCCAAAACAACTATCTCAACTCGCTCGACCATGTTGTCAGACCGGCTGGTATGAGGCCGAGATTGTTTTGGTTCGTTGTCACGCGACGTTTGGCCTTCTTTGAACTGTCGCACCCATGAACGCACATTTTTCACATTCATGACACCATCACCACATGTCTCACTCAACTGGCGATGAATTTCAATGGGTGTCGCACCATGCAAGTGGAGAAAACGAATGATTACTCACTGTTCTTGTAACGAAAACGTCGCCATTTTAGGTATCAAAAACACTCCTCACTCTCGCCGCTACCACTAGAGTTCTGTGTGCCGTACAGTGCTGCCATCTCTGTCACGCATTCACAAAGAGTGCAATATTTTAAACTAAACTGCATGTGTCTATCTGCTCCCAGTCCTGAGAAAAAAAATCGGAGACCTTAGAAATTGAACGCCCCTCGTATTTGTGGTCTTTTCATCTAAATGCTGTACTTCTATAAACTGCATTCTATTAGTAAGCTATGAATTCATCCATGAGGGTACTTTCCCTCTAAGTCCATACAGCTCCAAATATGCCCATAATTAAGGGCTTATTATCTAATGCTTTCTGGATATCCTCTATGAAGGTTTGTGTTGCTGTATTGGTAAATTTCTTCTCTCTGAAGCCATTCTGAGCCTCATATATCATATATGACATTATCCTTTTTGCTAGAATATCTGTCAATAATACAACAATATAAAAGAAATTAAGAATATGTCATTCACTTAAAATGTATTTTGATACTATGACTATTAAAATCATTAAAATGTCCTTAGGGCACTACAGGTATACAACTTTATACATTAAAAGTGATATAAAAATTCTTTGGACTGTCTTAATTTTGCATAATATATGACATTAATTCAAGAGAATATGTCCACCACCAATATGACACATCTGTACACAGGCCAAACTGTTTGAACTTTGTCATGTGATGCAAGCTCCAAGAATTTCTTTATTGTGTGGAAATTTTAATAGAGTTCTGAAAGGTTTAATATTCATTTCTCATTTGGGCGTGATAAAGAGCTCTTATATTTCCCCACCTCAGTACATCACATAGGAACTGATATTTAAATTGTCTTCAGTAACATACCCCAGCTCTGTTGTGGTAGATACGCTCCCAGCCTTTCTCTTCTCAAGAGACTCTTTAGCAAATTTGGTAACCAACTGCCCAATGGGCACATCAGGAACCCCTTGTTCACTGGCAAATTGCTTTGCCCCTTCACCAACCAGCATAACATGAGGTGTCTTCTCCATCACCAGGCGAGCCACATCCACAGGATGAGCCACATTTTTTATAGCACCTACTGAGCCTGTGGAAAGATTCAAGAATTATTTTGTAAAATTAATATCACAGCTACAACTCCAGAAATACAACTTAGATCAAATAGGAGGGGGGGAAAACCTCCATAGTTTTAGTCCTCAAGTGAACTATACTGACTAAGTGACCACCACTTGTCAGCAAATTTAGTGCCAACTTTAGCAAATAGAGGGTGTTGTGTGGTCAGTGCAACGAATCCCGACCGTCATTAAACTCAGTTTTCTAGACTGAAGCGGCTAATTCCTTGAAACAGCTCCTCAATTATGCTCATGAGGCTAAGTGCACCCCATTCCAGACCCACTACTTCTCAGAAAATCTGGTAATGCTAGGAATTGAACCCGGACCTCTGGATCTGTAGTCAGAAACTCTGACCACTAGGCCACAGAGGCAGTCACTTAGCAAAATTCTTTTGCATATTAGACTGCAGTACCTTTCCTACAAATATTTTTTTCCGTCCTAAAAGGGCAGACCAACTTAATATATCACTCAATACATCTTAATATATGGTATATATTGGCAGGGTGGCTGTCTCTTTGGTGGGGACATATCATAGACCAGGGATGCGTTGAGACACAGCTTTGAAGCACCTCCTCATGGTCCTGCTGGGCAACGACAGTCCTGGGGGGGCTACATTAGTGTGAACCTCCGGGGCTGGTGGCCGATTTTCCATAAAGGGCAATGGCCATTTGACCAGAGCCTCCCATGCGGCAGCATAATGACTCTTGGGTTTCATTACGATGTACCCAGGACGAATGCGGGAGAGCACTCCTATGGGGGTAGCTACGGCTATTTTAGTTGTCTCCCTAGAGTACCGACAAGGTGCCGCAAGCCTTAGGGCTCAACACTCTAAACCCACGTGGAGGGGTGAGAATGGGGGAGCTTTGAAGCAACTTCCAGGGGTGGTAAGTTCGTGTAGGTTGCCCTGGTCGCAACCTCATGACAACTAGTATCGCACTCCCAGTTATCTGGGATATCCCCCTCCCCCTGAACATGCACTCTTGGTCCTGGAGGCTTGTGAGGGTTATACTTATGAAGAACCAACCACCTAAGCCAAGGTGTGAGGCATCGTGCCGAGGGCTGCATGGCACTGGGGTGGTTATTGGCCGGTGTCGAGAGTGATCCCCTCAGGGCACCAGGCAGCACCCCGTTGTATTTATGCCTTCCACCCATATGGGGCTCTGTGGGTGGTGACCTTTTAAATCCCCATTACTCATGGGACCAAACGAAAAAAACCGGTCGTAAGGACCTTAAACTGAAGAGGGACCCCACTTTAAGGGGATCCCTACGAGAAATGCTTCAGCAGGGGGTTGGAAGTTCTGGTGAACCATTAAGGGGCTCAGAAGCAACCGGCGAACCTACTGTTGCAGTCTTAGCCAAAGGCAGGGATGAACCAATGATTCAAAACCTACCAGAGGCAAAACCAAAAA